TATAATTCTAAAAAAAGTTGACAAATTATGTCATTATACTAGTATAACGAGATAAATAATAGGTGTCATTTAATTTCATCATTCATAATTGATTTCATCATGCATAATTGATTATTTTTTTTCGCTATTACTATCTTCACTATTGATACTACCTTCAGAATCAGAATTGTTATATTTGCTATAATTTTTTTTTTATATATTTACATGCTTATAAAATTTAGGCCTAATCTCACAAATTATTTATTACAAATTATTTATTCTTTTTTTTTTTTTCATGTAGATATAATCATATCACTTAAACAATAATTCATCTCCTTTGCTTCTTTTAGCTGTTTTTCTTTATCAATATCAAAAGTAGTCATTCCAAAATCAATAAGAAATACTCTCTCCCCATCATCACAAAGAATAATATTTTCTTTTCGAATATCATTATGAAGAACTCCATGTTTATGAATTTTGTTCAATGTTTTGTAAGCATTTTGCTCTTGTGTTCTGGTAATACTCTTAAATTTCTCTAATGATTTACCAACAAAAGTTGTTCCTATAATGAAATACATTGTACCTTGTAAATAACCATAACATACTAATTTTGGAATATATATTCCTTGGATGTCTTCAAGAATATAATAAACTTCTAGCTCATGTATTAGTTCATGTAAAATCCTTTTTTTTTTTGATAGATCAGTAATTTTTAAAGCTATATCATAACCTTGAAATTTACATTGAAATGTTTTCCCACTCCTTCCATAACCTAAATAAGTCTTATCACTAAAATTGCTATATTCAAATTTTTGAAATTGATTTGATGATAAGTTTTGTGTCATTGAAGAACATTGTTGTGATCTATTTGAAGATTGTGATTGTAATTGGTTTTGATTTTTTGTAACTAAACGAGTGATGTGTTGCTTGGGTGGAATAACATTTTGTACAGATATGATATTAGGGTGTTGAAGATAATGATTTTGTTTTGCCTGCAGAACTATATAGGCATATGATTTTAACACAGTTGGATTATTATGATTAAAAGTTACAGTATCTGAAATATATATTGTATTGTGATCATCTCCTCCTTGTTGAAGAAACCAATTGCAATCATATGTTGAGATTATTCCATAGCGGAGGTTATTTTCAATCATATAAGTATATGCTTGTGAGATGACACAGTTCGCCTTTGAACAATCTTGAAAAAAAATCACAGGTGATGTATGATCAATAGGCAAAATTTCCTTCTTTTTGGCTTCAATTATTAAAATTGTATCATCTTCTTTTTTTGCAACAAAGTCTGATATGCCTGCACCTGCCATGTCTGTACTAGAAGGAGATGAAAATATAATACCCTCATTTTTCAACACAATGTTTAGATTAACTAAAATATTCACTTGTAAAGCACCCTGAACATCAGGTTCACTAACTATATTATCAAAATGCTCCACAAAATTAGGAACCTTGTATTTTGGTTCTTTTTCAAAACTAAAATTATTCACTTCCATGAAAAAATCAGTCCACCATGATATTTCTTTAGGTTGTTCAAAACCTCCTTGTGTCGAACCTGAACTTGTTACTGAATGGTAATTAATAGATGGTGGTATGTATGTCAAAAACTGATCTTGGCTCACTAATTAATAAAAATAGGATAGACATATAGACAAAAAAAAAATAGAAAGAAAATTTTGATTGCAAGCAGTGCAAAAAAAAAGATACATGTTAAACAAGCTGATTAATTTGAGTTATTGTAAATACATAATATAAAATCAAGTTACCTTCATCTTCTGTTGGACATTAAGAAATATATATTTCAATAGGTCATTGATAGAGCAAAGAAATAAAAAAAACATAAGTTAGTCAACACTTCAAAACAGTAATATATATATATGTCACTCAAACATATAAATAAATAAAACAAATGGAATGAATGGAAAATAATATATATTTTTATTTTTTTTTATGCAATTTGTTCATTACCTTTTTCCTTATTTATTCTTCGTAACTCCTCATTCCATTTCCTTACTTCTTCCTTCCAATCTTCTTTATCTTTCTCCAACCTCTTCTCTTTTTCCTCCAGTCTCACCAGCTGCTGTTTCTCCATTTCATCAAGTTCTTCTTTTCTTCTTGCCTTTCCCCTCAAGTCTTCCAGCCACCTCCCATAATTCTCCCCTTCCTTGAATTGATTCAGCTCCATTTCCGCCTTTCTATGCTCTTCTTCTGCCTTTTTCTTGTCCTCTCTAATTTCTTCAATCATTGCCATTTTCTTGAAATTAAAAAAATTTAAAAATGAATTTTAAAAAAAAAATTTTTTTTTATTGATTTTGTTTACAATTAATTGTTTCTATAAATAATTGGACCAATGATAAATTAGTAGACACATGACTTGAATATTTTTTATCATAGCAAGTTCATTTAAATTGTTCCCTTCTTGGTTCTATTTTATTGATTATTTGATCAATTTTTTGATTTATAGTATGGAGTTGATTTTGGTAGGTTTTATGTTGAATCAAGAAACCAAGAAGGAGTCCAATTAACAATCCACAAAAAAGTTCGTTATTGAATGTAAGCATTTTTTTTAAAATGTTATTATGGATGAAAATTGTGTAAATATTTATTGATTATTTGTTTTTTTTTTTAAACCAAAATAAAATTGTTTAATGATGATTATTAGAAGGATTTGTTATTTGAATTTTTTTACCCGAAAATTAAGTGAATTGGTAATGTCTTTATAATGTTCCAATACAATGTGGGATTATTTACCTTGTTTTAATGTCAATGAGAGAAAAACAAAGACTTATAAAACATATCCTTGAATGTAGTAGAATTTTTTGTTCAATTCAATCAACGTTATTTTACTGATAAGCAATGCAATATGATGATCATTAATTACATTTTGCATAAAGGAGAATTTTCTTTGTAGTAATAGTCAGTAAAAAAAATAAATCAATATTATAATAACAAAATTATTTTCCTTCAAAGGATTTCTGCTTTTTGTTAGATAACAATGCACCTCCACTCTGCTTTCTTTTTCCAACATTTATTATTCTTCTTTCTTCTTGGTAAATTTCATAAGTATTCTTTTCTTTTCTTAGATAAGCTTCCAGTGTCTGAGTATCACTTATCTTGAAAATATAAGGTGCAATTTTTCACCTTGTTCCTTCTTCAAAATACTTCTAATGGTGCTGTAATTTTTGGGTTCCATAGTAGATCTGATGTAAATGAGTTTCATATTAGCTATTTT